CGACGATAAATCTACCGCAACAGTTGTATTTTTCCACGAATAGGAAGTCGCCACGTGTCCAAAGCGAATCGAATGAACTTCTCTGCCAGGTCGAGATCGAACCGGACAGAGAGGGGGCCGATGTTTGGGGGAGAAAATACCCTAGACACGTGGAGGACAGCTATTGGTGTTTCAAGATGACTCATGAGTCATGCCCAACTCGAACCGTCAAGATTACCACCACTAGCATCGACATGTGCTAAGTATAAGGGCCGAGGTGCGACCTGGTCAAGGTCCGATCTACTGGGACGCTCAGCGGGTCCGATGTGAGCAACTGTCAGCGGCGTGATTATCGGGTGTAACCGTCGGTCCCGAGATGACCGGATGTAACCGTCGGTCCCGAGATCACCGGGTGTAACCGTCGCGAGATTAACGGGACTACCTCCCATAAGTAGAGGACCTCACTCCACACTCAGGTATGGTTTTTTACCTTGAACTAAACTGGGAATCCGACCTATACTGACTTGATCGTCGGAGTGTTCGCCTTTTTGTGCAGGTCCGCCCAAGTGTTCAGATCGGTCCGGAGACCGAGTTCGAGCTGCGATCAGAATAAACACTGTTGTGCATATTCTTGCATAAACACGTTGGAAATTAAAGAGTTATTGAGAGAAAAATATATATAGAGTAGAGATGAGATAACGTAGTCGTTTTACTTTTACTTTTTTTCTATTTTAGCTATGTATTTTTAAAACCTTCATTTTGATTATATTTAAAACCTTTATTTTGATTATATTTGTCCATTTTGGCTATTGTAGGTTAAAAAATGTCTTGTTTATCTACTTTTAAAAAGTGATACATCAATTTTTTTGTTTTATCCAAATATTATCAAATTTATATTAAAAAGTTGTTGTTAAGTGAAGAAAAATAGAGGAAGTACGTAATCCATAAATATCACTTTTAAAAAGTATAATAACCAGATATGACACAATTGAAAGGTAAGAAAAGTTAAAATATTATCGTCAATTTTAGTAGTGTAATTTCAAAATATTTATTTTTGTCAATATACTCTCAACTGTGGTTAAGTTGAATTCGAGTATTTTAAAAGATTCGTTTTGGTACCCCTACCTTTAAAAAATGACCACTTTTGTCTATCATTTTTATTTTCAATATTTCATCTTTTATATCATAATTTCAACACGATGTTACGCTCAATATAGTTACTTAAATGTAACCATAATTTTATATTAAAAAATTTTCGTCATGTGTAGAATTTGTGTTAAAATTACATAAATAAAAATTAAAATGATCATATTTAAAAATTACATGAATTATAAATAAGCATTTTGAAAGTACATATACTAAAACAAATAAAGAACGAATATTTTAAACTTTCTTGCATAATGGTACAGGAGCAAGAACTTTCGACCTCGTCGTATCACTCGTCTCAAGTATTTTAATAAAAAAAAAAACGGCCAAAATAGTATTTTAATAAAAAAAAATTCACTAACTATGAAATTACAAAAACACCATTGTATGGACCAATTTGGCGCCATTTGAAACAAGAGGAAACAACACAAATCGCATTTTTTGGTCACTTAGACTTCCCTGACAGCCACAGTCTGATCTCTCTGCATTCCAACTTCGCTTTTTTTCACCTCTAATGGCAAATCAACCATCCTTTCAATTTATTTCTCTCTTCTCCAAACCCTAATCTTCACGCTTCACTTCCATTTTCAAGGTACCGAACTTCACCAAACTTCTTCCGCCTTTGTTTTGTTTTAATTTCGATTTTATGCTTGATTAGGATGTGGTAGCGGCTGCTTTTGAATGTCGAAGTTTTCGTCTCCCGTTTCGTTTGGTATAACATGCATTAGGATCGGGTAAAAGTTGGCTGTTGGTTTCTGGGTGAAGTCGTTCTCGAATGGGAGCTTCAGCTTTATAGGGTAATCAGTTTTGTGATTTTCGTTCTTTTATAGTGTGATTGCGGCACAGTTCATTCAGCCTTCTTTGGGATTTTTGTCTGAGTTTATGGCGGAGTAGGATGCGGTGATGGTTTGTCTTCCGGAGCTTAGCTTTTTTGGGGCGTTTTTGCTTTTGAATGTTGAGTTTTTTTCTCCCATTTATTTGGATATGACATGCGTTAGGTTCAACGTGTTTTTATTTTCTGAGGGAAGTTAATAGATTCTGTGGAAGTTAGTTTATTAGGGGTAAAATCGTTCTAGAATTGGAGCTTTATAAGAGGTAATCAGTTTTGTGTGTGCTTGTGTTTATTTATTTATTTTTATTATTTTTTTTAGTGTGATCGAGGCACAGTTCATTCATTCAACTAATCTGCTGGACACCTTTGTAAATTGTCTAGTATCGAAAAAATCTTAGAATGTTCAGGCCTGTTTGATGATGTTACTGTTTTCTGCCTGCTGTCTATGAGAAATAGGTGCATCTGTAACTTTAATTCTTTTATCAGATGTCTCTGAAGAGACCTGAAACTTTCATTTTCTCCATTCCTCATAAGTCCATGAACTTCTAAAAGTATTTAGTAGATTTCGTTTGAAACCTATTAAATATAAAATTAAGTTTTGTGTTTAATAGGTCTCTAACCTTTCAATTTTGTGTCTAATAGGGCTAGGAATTAAAAAAAAAAGTCTAATAAAAAAGCTTAGGGATCTACTTGACACTTTTAAAAGTTCATTGACTTATTAGATAGAAGATTAAAAGTTTAGGGACCCATCAGACACAATTCTGAAAATTTAGGAACCAAATTTATAATTTAACCTAAATGTTATAAAGCTACATTAAAAAAATGTTATATAAAGAAAAAAAAAAGTTTTCATGTTTTATCTGAAATTAAATCTGAGTGTGTGTGTATAATTTGAAGACTACAAAAATGTAAACTAGAAGTACTCAAAGGAAAAAATAATTGTAAACTAGAAATGATGATCTAAAATGTTTATGTTTCTATCTCTCTTTTAAATTAAAAAAGTAATTGTATAACACTAACAGTATAAGTAATAAATGGTTACATAAGCATAAAATTAATTTTGTTTTTCTTTCTTTAAAATAGGAAAAAGAAATAAGAAACAAAAAATAATGTCTTTTCAATATCTTAAGGAGGTCATTGGTGGTTGACTAAGATATGAACTCATAACTTAACCATGACATATTCCTTTTTTTTTTGTGTTTTTGTTTGATACAGATGAAATACTATCCTTATTCTCATTTTGGTTCCTTTTGCCTTCTGCTTCCCTTTTTTATTATTGCCCTCTTGTATTCTTTCATTAAAAGTTGTGTTTTTTATAACAAAAAAAAAAACGACGACACAATTCTTAAAAAAAAAACTATGATATCACTGGACACATGTTGTTAACCCTACAACAGAAGTCAAAATGGAACAACTAGAAGGGTTTCTCACATCCACAGATTCAACGTGTGGCTCTCTAATTTTACACACTTGGTACAAGATAACTTGGATCTAGTTTGACTAATTTCTTTTTAAGGTAGTTATACTGTATGTTTTACTACCAATCAAGCAGCTAAAGTCTACACCTGAATTAATTTTTTATTTCTATTTTATATTTTATTCGTATCTTGTTCAAAAAAAAAAAAAAACCTCTGTGCCAAGAGTCTGTCTATTATGATATGATTTATGTTATTATTAACTTATCAGATAAGAGATTGCATTCGGTGGCCTCAGTGTTGGAGAATGGGGGGGAAGGGTTGTCCTGGTCCTTGTCCTTGGGTCTCACTTGGTCTTTGACAGATAGGGAAGCGCGGGAAGTGTTCGAGTTGATCCTTTTGCTCTCTGTTTGTTCCCTCTTTTGTGATAGAAGGGATTGTCGTGTTTGGTCCCCTAACCCTTCTAGGGGCTTCTCGTCCAGTTCCTTCTTCAACCTTTTATGTTCCCCTTCTCTTCCCTCGGCATCCCCAACGTTTACCGCGTTGTGGAAAGTGAGGATCCCAAAGAAGATAAAATTTTTCGTGTGGCAGGTCTTACTCGGGAAAGTTAACACCATGGATTGTATTCAAAAGAGCTCGGCCGCTTGCTTGGGGCCGCATTGGTGCGTTCTTTGTAAGCAGGATTCCGAGGATCTTGATCATATCTTATGGCAGTGCCAGTATTTCCAGAGAATTTGCGGTCGGTTCTTTGAGTTGGTTGGTATTTCTTGGGCTCGTCATAGAGAGTGGGGTTCGATGGTGGAGGAAGTGCTTATGTCCTCTCCTTTCTGTGAGAAAGGGAGTTTCCTTTGGCAGGCAGGTTTCTTTGGGATCATGTGGGGGATTGGTTGGAGAGAAACAATAGAATTTTAGGGGGGTGGAAAGAGAGTGGGAGTCTGATTGGGACCTCATAAGGTTTAATGTTTCTTTATGGGAGCTTGTTTCGAAATTGTTTTGTAACTATCAGTTAGGTCATATTCTTTTGGATGGGAGACCCTTGCTTTAGTTTGGCTTCCCTCTTTAGGGCTTTGTTTTTGTATGCCCATGTACATCCGTTTTGTTTTCATTATTCTCAATGAAAAGTTCGGTTTCTTATTAAAAAAAAAAATTTCTGTTATTATTAACTTTAATTTAAGGAACATAAAGAATTGGATAATTGTTTTTTATTTACTTGTGAATATTCATTCTTAATTGCCTTGCCACACGGCTAAAATGGCAATTATTGTTTATTGGATGGAGAGAAGATTCTGAAGTGGTGTTAATTCAGCTGTTCATCTGGCAGTTGTTTTATGGGGCTCTGGATTTTTCATTCCAAGCAGCACCAACTAAGTTTGAATCCTTATATGTTATTTTACACCAATGATGAAAAGTCTTGCCCCTGATTTTAGAAGAGAATTTCATTTATGAGAAATTGAGGAACAGTAGTGGTCCAGAAGAACATCCTTACCATGAGTGCACTAGGTGTTTGTCCTACCGAGGATGCCATACATGCATTGTTAGATTATTTAGTTGAACCTATGCTGCCTGCAAAGTCATCTTCGAGAGATAATCCACCACAATCTTTACAGCAATCAGTTGCAAAGCAGGTACTTCTAAAATTGACTTTTGTGTGTTTAATATTATTATTTCATTCACTTTCAATCTTGATAATGTTCGAACATTTTAATCTGGCTCATAATTTTTTTTGGTTTTGGACTGGGTGACGCATGTTGGATTACTGGAAACATAAAAGTTATACAATGAGCAATCTTTTCTTATTTTATTTTATTTATTTATATCCACGAATGTACGAATTAGCTTACGCATACATCGAAAAAGTTCATGAGACAACAGTCTGGCCTGACTACATTTGATTGCTAATGGAACTCCTAGAATTTTAGATCTTAGGTAGGTTGGTACCGTAGTTTGAACTCATTCCCTCTAAGCCGTTTACCTTTTTATAGGCTTCAATTGACTATTAGGTCAACCTACGATGGCTAGTGATATATGTTTCAATTTCCTTATTTTGAAAGTACCAACAGTTTTATGAGAATACTGTTGCTTATGCAAAAGATATAATTTCCATCAGTCGCCTCCTTCAACTATCTATGTGCTTTAATATCTTTGATCTTTTGAAAGTACCAGACTAAAATATATAATCTTCTCCAGAAAACTCTCTTTCACACGCACATGAAGGAAGATTAGAAAGAAGGCACATAAAGGGAGGAGGGAGAAGAGAGACTATGTATCCTGCTCTTCTCCTTGGTTATGGAAATTACAAGAAATGTCCATCCAGAAACTCTATGTGAGAAAATTGGTTAATTTATTTTCCAATATTTGAAACATCCACAAATATAAAGTAATTCCTGTGGTCCGAAAACACTTTAGACACTCCTGCTACTTTTGCAAGTTTATGATTTTTTTATCTGTCTCATTTAGACTTTTTAATTTAGCTCCATTGTTCGTCCAAAAAAAAAGCACCATTGTTCTGGCAGGAAAGTTAGGATTTTCCTTCCTTCCTTTTTGGGCATTTAACTAGAATATAAATTGACTATTGTCGATCATATGGTTAAGATAGAATAGGTTTTGAAGTAGGTTAGTTTTAACTTCTTGTAGCAGCTTGTTACCCACCACTTCTTCCCGAAAGAAAAACTTGTAAAGAGAGAGAATGAAAGCGTCATCTAACTTTGTGTTTTATCCTTGGATCTACTCCGTAAGGTGCATGCCGTTGTTATATTGTACAACTACTACCACCGGAAACAACATCCACACCTTGAACTTTTGAGTTTTGAGGCATTTTGCAAGTTGGCTGTGGTCGTAAAACCAGCTTTATTGTCTCACATGAAACTCATGCAAAGCTCAGATGATACTGAATTGGAAAACCCTGAGAAGCAGCTTTCTCCAGCAGAAAAAGCAATTATGGATGCATGTGACATAGCCACTTGTCTAGAGGCATCAAAAGATGAAAACGTAGAGGGCTGGCCTCTTTCAAAGGTTGCTGTTCTTTTAATTGACTCCAGGAAGGAGTGTTGCCATTTGCTATTTAGTTTCATCACTCAAGGAGTTTGGTCTGTGATTGAACAAGATTTGGATACCTCTGAGTGCCAACCAGAAACTGTGGAAGAGGAAAAACATGTAAACAAAAAGAGAAGAGTGATTAAGAAACCTTCAAAAGAGGTGTCAGTTGTTGATGAAGCTAAGACACAGCAGCTTGCATATTCAGCAGTTAAGGAGGCAACTGGTGTGTATCTTACTGCATTAACTCTTTAGATAGTTCAGTTACTTGTTTCTTATTCTTATACTAAACAGGTTATACGTATGTTAAGGAAAATTGCTTTATTTCCTACATTTTTACTTTATATGAGACGTTCCCCCCTTGTTGATTTTTGATTTGAAGATACCTTTTAGAATACTAATGATTTATTGCAGAGATAGTTATCTCATCTATATCTTCTTCCCCAATTAAGCAACTGTGAGGTTACTGGTTAGGGAATGCAGATTGTCTTCATCCCTTATTTAATTTTTTTTCTTTTCCTGAATTAGATTATTATATAATTATCGTATTGGTTATGTGTTTTATGTACCCTTTCTGTTCTCTTTTGTAATTACCTCAAGAAAAGGGGAAGAGCTTGGTTTTATCATGACATATTTTGGAGCATGTATAAAAAATAAAAAAGACTTTTTAAGTGGGACCTATCATTTAGTTTACGGTATCTATATGTAAAGAATGCTTTCTTTGATGATGAGTTGGAAGAAGAGGCTTATATGAGACTTTCCTTGGATTTGAATGAGAATTAAGGGAGGATGAGATATACAAATCTAAGCGACCTTAATGAGTTTCAATTATCATCAACGTCCTTCAAATAAAATTACAGGGTATTTAAAGGCAAACCATTAGACAAGATGAATCTTAACAAACATGGAAGGAAAACATTAAAACAGTACATATAGCTTTATTAACTGCAACAGTGGGTAACTAAATAAATATCAGTAACTATTTCTGTGGGGGTGTTAGTTTGCAAGCATGATTTGAGACAGTTATTGGAAGGCTTTGGAAGTGTATATGGCTCTTAGCAGGTTGTGTGAGTCTTTGATTTAGGTGTTGATTTACCCTCCTTAAAGATAGGGGCGACTGGTGGGCTGATTTCTTTTTTTGCTGTCTTATGAAACATTCAGCTGGAGAGAATAGGAAAGTTTTTAGAGGCGTGGAGAGTTTTGAGGAGAATGTTGGGTTTTGGCTAGGTTCAATACCTCTGTTTGAGTTTCTGTAACTATGACATTTAGTGCTTTTCTCTCATTTTTATGAATTGGAAGAAGGTTTGGGTTTTGGCTAGGTTCAATACCTCTGTTTGAGTTTCTGTAACTATGACATTTAGTGCTTTTCTCTCATTTTTATAAATTGGAGTCCCTTTTTTGTAATGTTTTATAATTAGGTAGCTTTCTCAGGGACGGCAAAAATACCCGTGGGACCCGATCCCTTGAGGTACCCGACCCGATGGGGTCGGGGATCGGTCCCCCCGCCCTGTCCCCGTCCCCGGCCGCGCCCCGTTTGATTTTTTATTGCTTTTTCTAATTTTTTATATAATATTATTAATATATATTAATTTTATAAATACTTTTTAATTAAAAAAAAACTCAAGCCAACACCTCATTTAGCCACTTTTTGTTCACTTTTTATACTAATAATAACAAAAAAAATTAATTAAAAAAATTTAAATTAAAAAATTAAAAAAATAGATTTATAACGGGGACAGGTTCCCCGCTCCGATCGGGGAATCCCCGCCTCGTCATCGCCCCCAAAATTTCAGGGACGGGGGCGGGGATGGGGGAAAAAATCCCCAACGGGGCGGGGATGGGGATGGCCCCCCGGCCCCGCCCCGTCCCGTTGCCATCCCTAGCTTTCTGCATCATGGCCATTTTGTATGGGGCTTTCCTTTTTTTCTCCAACGCTTTTGTATTTTTTTTCTTTCATTTTACTCAATAAAAGTTGGCTTTTCATTAAAGAAAAAACACTTTGAACAAAAAAAGGGGCAACCAAATGGGAGGGAAAATTACAAAAAAGAATCCAGATCGTGAACAATAAAAGAAAAGAGAGAAGAAAATCCCAAAATTATACAGCCAGAGGCCCAATCGTTCACCCCCTTATCCATTAATTTTTGAGTCCTCGTCATGTCCCAATGGTGGTTTTTTGTCTTTGTTGCATGCATTCACTGGATGAGTGATGTTTGACCATGGTTGAAAATTTGCCATTTTCGGCCTTGTGTTTTTAACTTTGGGTCAGTTACTTTTCTGCTATGCTGCTTTGTACTCTTGGTACTGGTTGCCTTATGTTCAATCACTACCCTTTCCTTCCCTTTAGCGTCTTTAAAAGTACTTGTTCCAACTTCTTTACTGCCTTCTTTGTTGAATATGGCATGTCTCCGAGTTGTTCCAGCCCCTTTACTTTTCATCATGACCTTCATTATCGATTCTGCAGCATGTCTTGAATATATTTTCCAAAGACCAATCCTCGTGTCTGTAAACAAACATCAGTATGTATGTAAAGTCCAACAAATGAACTTGATACGAACCAGCCCTATTTTTTATTGATATTTAGGGAGAGAATTACAGTGTCAAAGGGAGACATATGAGAGCTCTCTACCTTTCCACTGACCTAACTACCTAGCCAAAAAGATACCTTCTCTCCTACAGCCAATATATATGCGCACACAAAATACCCAAAATAGCCCTTACGATAGATCCCTGTCAATCCTCATGCACTCTCTTCTTCCTGGAAGGCACATTCTTACATTACCCCCCACCCCCCACCCCCCACGGTGAAAATCAGGAAATTGGACAGCTATAGTAGAAGTTGGCTCCCAATTAGCATCCTGTCCAGAAGAGTCCTTCCAGCAACCTGAAACAGCAGCTTGAACGCCCAATATTTCTTTGGTGATGGAATAATAGGGGAGGTGTGCTCGTTTGCTTTTCAAAGTTGGGAAACTTGAAAAACAGGACGGATGGTGGTTTGTCTGCAACAGGCCCAATTTTCTCAATCACTCGGAACGGGCCAACAAAACGTGGTGCAAGTTTTGCATTAGAGTGTTGAGCCAGTGTCCCTTGCCTAGGTAAACCCAATTGCTTACAAGCAGCTCAACATCATGGTGCAAAATTGTGCATGCGAAATACTACCTTTTGCAGCATGATTATCACTGGCCCTCCTTCTAGCAGAAATTCATCCAAGGCCCCGTGGATTACTATTTCAAATCTGTCCAGTAGAGTCCTAGAGAGAACAAAGAGGAAAATTGGGACGATTGAAAGAAGGAATGATTGAAACGATTGAAAGAAGGAAAAGAATGGCCTAAGGACAAGGGACGTGACGTCCCCTTCCCAAAAGAACACTAAAAGAGAAGAGCTCTCTGATCCTGTAAAACCATAGAGAGATTGTAATTTTTTTTGAACAAGATACAAACTTCTCATTGAAATAATTGAAAGGAAAAAAATGTTCAAAGATACGAACTCTTGAAAGAGTGAAACAAAAGAAAAGAACACAAAAACTTAATAAGTGTAGAGACGAAGGTTGGAGAGAATCCAATGTTCTGTATTCTCATTATTAAAGTCTATATATATATATATAGACAAATATACAAGGTTGACCTAATCCTATAAGGAGAAGGTAAATGACAAATTAATATTAATACAAGAATATAAAATATACTAATCTATATACTCTAACACTCTCCCTCAAGTTGGTGCATATATGTTAATCATGCCCAACTTGTTAGACAAATAATCTATTCGTGCTCCATTCAATGCTTTAGTAAACATATCTCTTAGCTGATCTCCACTCTTCACATACCCTGTAGCCACTAATCCTTACTGTATTTTCTCACGTACATAATGACAATCAACTTCAATGTGTTTGGTTCGTTCATGAAATACTGGATTAGATGCAATATGAAGAGCTGCTTGAT